TATGGGATCCCAGATCAATTGACCGCCGCAACAGGAAGGGACAAGCCCCACAATAGTGAGAATCTGGCGTTCGTTTACTGAACTCTGGAGTGGCACATCACGTTCGACCTCACAAGAATAGGGATTATTACTCAGCCAAGAGACAACGACGCTATCCAACTACAAAGTGAATGATAGCGCGATCTGACCTCTGGATGTCAAAGCCTGATGAGTGTCGGGGCTAATGATACAAACCAAATCACTGCAGCGTTGAGCCACCAGATGACAAATGAATGATCCTTTTGACTGATTTCATTCCCTTATTCGGAAAATACACTAAACAATGGTCTATTGAACAAAAGAAACCGAACAGTGATAGACACAAAATCTTCAAACAGATTTATCCTTTTCGTCACTGGACATAAATATGAGGGCAAGAGTGGGACGAGCGAACGTTTTTGTGTGCATTCAACAAATAAACGACTTGAACATAGTGAACGGCTATGCTACGAGGGAAAGCAGAGCGAGGAAGGCTGTTCTCGACAGACAAACTGACTGCTAGATCACAGTCAGTGGTGTAACCCTTGTGATCACCTCGCACGAGTTACATGCGAGTTCCGTAGGGACTAGGTTAATACAGTACGTCGGGAAAACTACACACTCGGATGCCCAAACGAGCCGGTGACCAGTGCCACAACTAGGAAGGTGTGGGTCAGTGTGGTTCGTACACCTCTTCTTGGTTGGTTTGAAATTGAGGTTTTTAGCCCACTGCCCTAGGTGAACTGAAAATGGTTCGCCAACCCGGTTATAGACCTGGATGTTGGCTTTTCATCCTTTTGTTTTGGTAGGAAATCATCTCGGTCACAAGAAGGCAATGAGTAGGGCTTTCTCAACAAAAACTAATCGAGACGCTTGGTCATATGGGAGCATTTCGCGCGGGGTGCAAGGGAATGGTGATCAATCACAATCCGAGACACCCACCCCGACCATATACAGGCCTTGGGAGGCGCAGCGTACGGACAAGTGATTTGTTTACGTTAACCGACGACAGACCCTCCAGACATGCTACACAAGACAGCTATGGTGGATGCATTTATTCATCAGTGAATTTTCATCACATCACTTTTCAATTTGACCAATGAGTGATGATTTACTGCTCCATGTGACCATGAGGTATAATATATTGATTGCTGGCTTGAATGGAAAAAGGAATTCCATGCTCGTTCGTCCTGTATTCTCATTTTTGAATTGGTACAGCGTTGTTGTCTTGAAGGTCTGCCTTTCTAGCCAAAGGCTTCGGGGGGAGGGGGAGACCCTGAGGTTATTCCTCTTCCTCAGTTAGGGCAACCGGAAAGTGGTATACCCACACAACCGATGAACACATTCTACCGATTTGTTCGTTCACATTTGCCACATCTATGTGATTGGTTAAATTTGAAATAAAAAATATGATAACGGTAGATTGATAGGGCGAGAGACGATCATACGGCAATGGGGAAGTGGTCGCGGCGTGTAGCTTATGGTCGAAGTAATTAAGCATTCATTATGGACACACAGAAACACGATGCAAGTTCAATAATAACAGTAATAATACGAGGAAACCAGAGTGTACGGAAAGGGAGAAATCGAGGTCAAGTAGAAAACGACAGATGTGGAACGAAATTTTTTGAGGACCCAGTGGTCACAACTGCAAGTTACAGACGTATCAGAGGTTTCATGGCATTGAAAATGACCAAAATTGTAGTGACCTCATGGGAGAAGTACCTACAGACCATGGATTTGACTAGTACAATCATTGTAAAAAAATGACAGTATCACAATATCACAAGTTCCATGCAGGATGGTTTTGCACTATCTCTACTCGTGTGTGTGTTACGGCTGGAAAATACAATGTTTACATGGAGTTCACCGGTAGCAACACTGACGCGGTGGAATAAAAGAAAACATGATCAGGTTAGGGAAAATTTGAAAAAGTCATTACTGTTGGCCCTGGAGAGACTTCCATTGGGTAATAGCAACTGGTTAGGTAAAATTGAAGGATCTTGCATTTGATGTCTTTTAGATAACTCGGAGAGCTACTATTGTGGCTAACCACATGTTGCGACATCAGATGCCGAACAATCGATGATGAGGGTTTTTTGCACGCGATAGGTATCACTGTGGTCTGAACCTGATCCGGACTATGTCACTGGAGCATGCATCCGGTTTAGGATATACAGGTCTAATCGAAACTGAAGCAACAGGTCCCTGTGGAACACTGTAGTGAAAGAAAAGCGGTCATAAGATTGTCGTTTCATTAGACCCATGTAGGTGGCTCCGCAATCACAGTGAAAGTTGTAAATCAAATTCGATTGTGGGAACTAAGAGAGCCGCTGTATTCCTTTTTTTATCACACACTTTGTGTGACGAACAGCAGACGGGGAAAGTCCCATAGTCACGAGGACCTGCTGCTCAGTGATGGAAACCGATAACCTAAGCCCCGGGATTTCGAGTGATGAAGCACATAAGGCCCCGATAGGTCGATCGATCGGGAAGGAGGTTTCTCCAAATGGGTGCCGAAGACTTTAGGGCACGGTATACTTTGCAGAAGCCCACACCGATGAAGGGTTTTTTCTTTGGAAAGCCTAATCGGTAACTTTGACTCAAAAATCTGATCCGCAAGGTAGTGGGGCGTAAATCCAATGCGGGAGTGTGACCTAAACGACAGTGTGGGAGAGAGAAAGACCTATCACACAAGGCCTTCGGGTTACGGTTCAGTGCATTATTTGCTGGTGTATTGATTGTCGGTCCGCTGCTCGGGATCGGCCCTTAGTCTCAAGCAGAACGTGGNGACGGGACAGCACCTTATTGGCTGGGGGCTGCCCATCTTGGGCGGGCGGTAGTTATCCAATGAGGTACAAAGACTTCTCCCAATGTCGATCGATAGCCAATAACAGGAACAGCCGCATATCACATTCGGTCGATTGTTCGTCCCAGTCGTTATTTAAAGGATATATACCAAAATCATCACCGTCGAATGGAACACAGATGGCAACTCGTTTTTCGGATGCTGACGCCACTATGGTATCTGGAAAATCCAGGTTTGCTTTGCATGTTAATAAGCACCTCAGAATAGCCGTTCCTGGTAGCTATCAGTCGAGTGTATACCTTCACCAGACACGACTGAAAAGGGCTCAAACAAAGCCACGTTTGTACTCAGGCGATGTAGGCCTTTTAAAAGGTAGTGACCAGTCATTTATGTACCCTTCTGAATCGGAGATCACCCAATGGACCTCCAACCCATCTACCGACCGGAACAACATTTTACCATTTTAGTCTAAGTTACTGTTAGTAATATTACTACTTGCAAATCCTATCGAAGTAGTGCATTTTTTTCTGCTGTACAGCACCAACGCAGATGCAATAAATCTGTTTCGGACAAAATACGTACATTAATTGAATGCTTATAGTATCAAACGGTATTCCTATATCAATCTGATGTTCCTTAGGACGAGGAAAAACAAAATTTGGACCCAAATGATAGTGCTTCTAAATTGGATTGATGTGATAATTACGCACGATATTTTCGTCTTCCTTTATGTTCCCAACCGGATCAGCTGTGTACACATAGAGAGGGAGCGAAAATGCTCTTTGTTTTCGGCTCAGATGGTAACCTGTCTCGTGTAGCGGGTGTGGGACGCACGAGACTTGTGAACTGTCAAACGAACCCCATTACATAATCCGATCTTATTTCCATATGTGGGGCTTTCGCTCACCAACCGCGCATGTTCTACATTAGATCAGTATAGTACATCGTCGAGATTTTGGAACACGACTAGGAACAAACAGTATCGTTTAAAACGGGAGGGGTGACGATATGACGAGGTTGATTATTTTCCCCAAAGCTAAACACAATTCCTGTTAGAGAGCGGCTTGAATAGTTGGTTCAGAGGAGCACTAACTGACACCATTTCATCAAACCTAGGGATGGAAATTGTCGGGGTAGAGCGCCATTGTTACCGACCCCATTTCATTAGACCAAATTTTGAGCAAAGACAACAATACACACATACACAGAGTGACTGATTGACTGACCTGATACCACGAATAGGCCCGTTCAACCGGATCCCTGAGAAGAACAATTAGCTGGACAGAAGGAACTAGAGCGTGAATTCGTGCTGGGGCTTTTGCCGAGGCGAAATAGGTGGCGGACTTTTCAAACAGCACCCGTTCCGCTGAGCTCAAATTCGCACTGGCCGCATGCGAATCGTTCAGTTGAGTAAAGTACCAGTGCACACCACGCGCATAGATCTCATCCGAGCTGAAAAACTGGAGCTCTTCAAAAGTGGTCGGAAACTGGTAACGATTGATCGCCAATCGTGGATGGAGTCGTAGAAAGTGAACCAATGCTGTCGAACCTGTATAGGTGTATCAGAGTACCGCAAACAAAAATACTGTAAAATGTGGATACACACAAAATAAAAACGAATTTACATCAAGAGGGACTCAGTTCGTTCGAGAGTGAAAAAAATTCCAGTTACAATCCATGCAATGCTCCGAAGGGGTGTCCGATAGAGGAATTTTCAATCACTTACCTCATGTGATGATAGTGCTTTCACCAAAGCAAGGGCGAAAAATTCGATAGTTAGAACTGCAATCGAGCTGATGATCCAAGTCATCTAACGTGACCTAGAAAAACTTGATTTTATATATTATCATTCAATTCAAAGGGACTGACTTCAGGGAAACTAAAATGCAAAGATCACCGGCTCTACTGGGTGATAATAGGAGGTAGTGAGTGCGTTAGATTTATGTAACTGATCTCTTAAGGGTATAAAATCCGCACAACCGTACACCACATTAACGTTATTTATACCGCGCGGCTGGCACCCAGGCCAAACGTAAGTTAAAAACGGTTCTGTGTGTAAACTTCGAAGAAAATTCTCGGTGTTCACCATCACAACGAGACTGAACCTTGTCGTGATGTGATGGCTTGCTTACCTTGAGGACCTTGCAAGCTACACAAGATGATTATTCGCAACCACATTTATGAACATGCCTGAAAAGTCAACGGATGGGGGCTAGACACAGTTCAGTCTCATAAGACAAAAGCTGATTAGGCTCCTTNCGACGGCGCCACAGATGTCTCAAGTCAGCAAATGCCAACCGAGCCTTCTGTATGCGGGCTGACATTTCATCCGAGCTACACAAGATGATTATTCGCAACCACATGTATGAACATGCCTGAAAAGTCAACGGATGGGGGGTAGACACAGTTCAGTCTCATAAGACAAAAGCTGATTAGGCTCCTTGTGGCTTCTTTGTTTATCCATCCTTTCCCCAGGAGAGGTCAACCCAACAAATAAACACGGGGGAAGGAGTTCACCAGCCAAAACCCCCGCTAGATAGGGGATAAGAGCGGGGTACCTGGGGCTTTCTGTAGAAAGTGAGATAAGTCTTGGCACTTCACTGGATAATTGTCACCCGCCAGAGATAGATAGGCTCCTGATTCCAAACCATTCATGCACAATCTTTCCCGGTCGTGATAGTGGGCAGCGACGTGATTGGGCATCGGGGTGTATTGGGCGCCTTGGGTGTTTGAACCTGTCCAATTTGCGATGAACTGGACACCGACCCCAAAATGGATTGTGGTTTTTACACACTTCCGCGTTGGCTTGTGTGTTAGGCTTTGGTCTGGAAAACTTAGCAGTATGGTGCCCTCGAGAAAATCGGACGCTTGCTCACAGCGTGCAGATCATGGACCTTTTGCCATTTTTATAAAGATTAAAGCACCGTGATTTGTTTAGCACACAGTCTGAACTAAGACGTGTGGGAACACAATAAGGTGCTATCCCGTCCGTGTTACGATTGTCTCAATGGGTGTAGGAGGCTAAGGATAGATCACAAACAGCGGACCGTCAATCAACGCACCAGCTAACAATACAACGAACACGAATATCTTGTGTGACAGATCTCTGGCAGCTTCGATTACGCTACCGCGTTAGATCTAAGCCCCTATGTTTTGTGGACCAAACTTTTGAGTTGGAGACTCAGATTAGGGTTCCCGGAGAAAAATAACTTCATAGCTATGGGCTACCACGTTCTGCTCGAAAAAATAACATGCACACTTGAAAAACAAAATTTGCTCATCTGCCCAGTTCTTCCTTTCACTCCCTAATCTTACGATATGCCTCCTGTGTATACCATCCATGAGATATCACTGGGTGATTAATTAGTAAGCTCTAGAATTGACAAGGGCAAAGTCTCTGGTGCGCTTCGTCGCATTCAATGTCCGCACAATATATCAGATCGACCGACAAGCTGTCTCACATGGAACACTCGAAATCTTCCATTTGGATGTATGCTGTCTCCGAAACACGCATACAAGACCCTAATTCAATCATTATCCTGCATTCTCCTGACCCCACATAATCCTCATGCTTCATTCTTCGTGTGTTAGGCGATTCGACAGCCAACGCGCAAGATGTTGCAGGTGTCGGGATTGTGCTAAGACTGAATATTCACCTCTTCACTAGATTCCGGTTAGTAGCCGACTTCGCGCTCTATGCCTCGACGGCTCGTTATGAGTCAACAGGCAAATTACGAAACATTAGTGCTTGTACGTTATGTCTGTGTATGCGTGTGCACTAACGACTGTAGTTCATCTGAAATGAGGGGCAAAGTCTACAAAGATTTTTCTCAACTGCTCCAAAGAGCTCGGTCAGCGGACATTGTAGTCACTGGGAGCTCCAAAGCTCAAATGTGATGCCTGGACGAATCAGAAAGGCTTCTGGGAGGGGGGGATCTACTGACAATTTTAACCAACAGAACATACAGCGAATGGTTTAGCCACAACCCCTGAGTACTTTAGCCTCGAAGCACAAACTTCGGTCAAACCATTATGCACATCTCGCACAGTTTTAGTGTTTCCTCATAACACGCGATACTCCTGTGAATAAAATATATCAAATCTGACACAAAAGATATATAGTTTTGTGTCTACCAGCCCTGAAATAAAAAGAAAACGTGACACCAAAAAAGTAAATGCTTATTGTTCCATATCTTCACTTGAAGTGAGGTAGGCGCATGACAGGTGGATACATTAAAAGTCCGAGGATAATAAACACTGTTCACAAAAGACCCGGTTTAGCCCATCGTTTCCGAACAAGCTATTGACACAACCCGTATTTCTTGAGCCGCGACTACCGTATTATGTTCAAAATTGCGCGTTAATAAACTAATAAGCGTTCCACTTTGTACAGCCATTAACCATGCACTTTCGCGTGTCGGTTTGTGTTGCTGTCTTTCGGTTGTCCTTTTGGATGAAGCAGTATGAGGAAGATAGGAAAGTTGAAAGTAGAGTTGAAGTGAAAATGGAGAATTTCAGTAGCTTAAGGTTGTTAGGAAACTGAGACAATAAACGAGCGCCCCTGTTCAAGACGCTCAACCGTATTACTCAGCTTCTCTAGCCACCGGTTACAATCATCCCGAGCTCCCCATTCAGGAAGCCTAACGTGACCGATTTGACCGAGTCTCTTGGTTAGGGTTTTCATACCCTCATGCCAGGTCTTAGTTTGACCACCCTTGACATTTTTCCACCCACTGTCTATCTCAACAAACATCACTCTCTGTGGCAACCTGTTCGGTGACATGCGTAACACATACCCCGACCAACTTAATTCATCGAGGTCGACCCCGTGTTACAGGAAACGACCACGAAAATGTGACATTCAGCTTCTAACCTCAGCAATGATTGCCCGATTTCCCATCAGACTCGTGCAATACGACGTGGATAGCGATGTTCGGACACCGACAGTCTAATTTTATCCTGTTCCCTTAATGTCCAAGTCTGTGCATCGTAAAGAAGCACTGTCGAACTGCCGCAGTATACGTTTAACCCTTCGCAGACAACCGGATTTCTCGACGGCGCCACAGATGTCTCAAGTTGGTGAATGCCAATCGAGCCTTCTGTTTGCGAGCTGACACTTTATCCGTGATGCGTTCAACGGGTGATATGTAGCTGTCCAAATAAACCCGAAACTTAGTGTTTAAGCCTATTTCGCGTCGATTCCACAACTGTTTGCGTAGTTACAGGAAGGCTCTTCTAGCTCCATCTACACAGAGTTGTATTTCATCCTTAGCCTGGCCGTTTGGTCCGATTGTAAAGCCAAGATACCTGAAAACTTCGGTTGATCCGACAAGCTCCCCGTTATTCGAGAGGGGCTCCGTCGTGGCAGTAGTTTCGGTCCAAATTGCGCGTTCATGTTTGTTCGGGATGTCGTCTTCAGTGTTAATGCCAATAGTAATATTTTACGCCTGACTTGTCAGTTGTTCAGTCCAATCACTGCATAACCGGTAGGTTGATGAATCATCGAAACAGATTCATCTTGCCAACCATATGATGCGCAAGGTCCTCGTCCGTCGTGCTCGAATGCGTCGACTAGCAGCGGTTTGAGCGTTTTGTTTTAACATCGCCACTCATCATTGGTTATGAGCCGGACAGTGATGAGAAAATCGAGGCAAATCTTTCGAATTTCGCCTCGGACAACTTCGTTTTCTCCGCGTCATCCCGTTCCCAAAAGGTTTTTTATCGGCCTACGGATAGGTAGTTTTTGTCTGCATTGTTTTATCCAGTATGTGGTTTTTTGTCGCGGTCAAGATATTCAACATCATGAGATCCCCCTGGACAACACGATTGCTGGTTACTTTCAAATTTGCAACTCAGATCCACTCTCGGTTGAAATGAGATTGTCACAAACCGGGGAGATGTGTTTGTGCATGTGGCAAAAACTGTTGGCCGCAGACGGACATACAATTGGTTTTCACCGTGTTTCTGCTGGTTCTGTCTGTGTATATTGTCAACCGGCTTCAAGTCCTTTTTTAGTTGCGTTCTTATCTTGTTCTATTATACCCTCGGTGGTAGATAGCTTTGCTCTCGCCCGGTTCAATACTACTCCAAATCTAGCTTCGGGGTTAAGGTTTCATCACTAAACAGCAATTCTTCGTGGCTGTGGGGTCCACCTCGTCTACTGTTCTTCACACAAAGCTTTATAGTAAAAGAATCTGTCAAACTATGTCAGTTATTCCAAGAATAGAAAATGAATCGTTTAACTACTAGAGATGTCCGCTTTTATTCATCCGAATTGGTGCGGTGAGAACGGAATTCAGCGGGTATGTACAGTGGGGGACATTGAGGCGATTTATCTGCTCATATTCATTTTCCTATTGTTGTTGTTTTTCCAGATACTTCTAATCGACGCGGCACAGTTCCGACGAGCCCCGGATACCGTGTTACACGCAGTTCAGGAATTTCTACGACTCCCTACTCGGATCAATTTTACCGCCTATCTGGAGTGAGTGATGCGATGCGATGCGTGCGTGCGTGCGTGCATGTCTATTTGTTTATAACAAGCTCATTTTTGATACTCGTTCTGGGTCCTTTGTTCCATTCCTCTCCAGGTGGTACTTGCGATCTTCCTGTGCACAGACTCCCCTCAGTTCTCTCTTGTCGCGCACACTGTGAACATGCGTCCGTTTTGTGGTCCCGAATTGAGCTGCCGCCACGTGTCGCACTGTTCTTTCTCTCTTTGTGTGTGTGTACCTCTCCTCTGTATTTTTGTTGCTACTTGAGGGACATTTACTTTTAACTGTAAATGATTCAGTGGACTCAGCAGGACTTGAACTCATTCAGACTTGGTTGCCGCCTACAGCTCTGTGCAACCTACGCTGTACCAGGAGGGACAAATATGGAATTTTTTCCAACTAAACCAGCAATCGATATCTTAAGCAACAAGGACACATGGAGGTTGTCATAACTCTTACGGTAATTGATCACTTCTCGGTCCATTTGAAAAGTGGTATGTGATAAAAATCATTGACTCATCGATGGATAGATGCAAGCACCATAGCTGTATTGTGTGGCTTATGGCGAGGGAGGTCTATCTTTGGTTAATGCAAACAAGTCACTTGTCCGTAAGCTGC